CCACTGGCCTTGCCGCTGTCAGATAGGAGATCCTCCTAACCCCAGCATGGGGACAGACACCCTCTGAGCCTGCTGACCTGTTGCAGGATATGTTTTTTCCCTTCTAACCAAAACACAGATAAACTTCTGGCAGTCTGGTTTGGGGAACCAAACCAGCACTCATCTCAGCACTGAGTCAGACTTTTGGTGGCAGAGCTGCCCCCGCGCTGGTTTTCCACAAGAATGTGGCTGCGGATGGGTGTTGAAGGACTGTCCGTGGCCAGAGGAGGTGCCTGGGTGAGGACAGCAGTGCTGGGGCTCTGCCTAGAGGCAGCTGTCCTGGAGAGCTGCAGCCCCAGTGAGGCTCCTGCCTGCTCCGGAGCCCCCAGTTTCACAAGATGCAGTGGGAAGTGCCGGGAGGGTGGAGCTGTTAAACCCGTTTCACCGCTGCAGGCAGGCAAGGCAGGATTGCTCCATGGCAATGGATGGGTGAATGGGTGAAGAGCAGCCTGGATGGCTGCCAGGGGGGGTTGGTGTCTCGGTGAGGGGAGCAGGCGGCAGTATGGGCTGCAGAGACCTGTCACAAGCTGCTGATGGCTATTTCTGCCTTCTTGGTTTGTAGCAGCTTGATGGTCTTTGGTTCTTGGGGTTTTTTCTTCCTTATTTCCTCAGCTCCAAAAGCTACGTTGGCTAATTAAAAGGGCACCAAGTCCCCTTGTGAGAGTGGTGCATACTGTAAGCATAGCATCCAGGAGTAGGGCAGGATTGCACCCTGTGCCCATAGTGTGTGATCTGTGTCAGCTGCTCAGCTCACCCCATCCAGCTGCACCTTCTGCACATGGGCTGGGAGCCTCCAAAATGGGGACTCAGGGCTCAGCCTGCACTGAGAGCTTGTTTGTGCCTTCCCACCATCCTCAGGCACCTGGCTGACAGAATGGAGAAGCTCCAGGCATGGGCCCTGGGAGAGCACTGCTGCTTTGCTTCCAGACCCTTAGGAATAATTTCCTTGGGCCTGAAAGGATCCTAACGAATCTGAAGTTAAAAGGTGCTTTTTATGGAAAAAAGTCAGGTGGTCGTATGTCAGCATGTGAAATTCCTCTTAAAATGGAGAGACTGAAATTGCTCCCCAGGTGCTCACTTCTCATCAGAGCTGCACAGAGACCTGCTGCTCCATCACTCTGCATGAGCAGGATGCTTTTGCAGGCACAGCCACTTGCAGGAGTGGCAGAGGGGCCAGTGCCACCCCCTGCCCCTCTGTGGCTCTCAGATCGGGCAGGGGTGTTCGTTGGGGCACTTGCCTGTGGGCAGGAGTTTGCACAGGGTGGCAGTGCCAGTCCTGGCTGTGCAGCCTTGGTTTGTGTCAGTCCCAGGGCTCTGTTTGTCTTCCCCATCGCAGCTGCCTCCTCCCACCTTCAGCGCTGAGTCTGGAGCTGGGGTCCCTGGGTCAGGGTGTCCCTGAAACTGCTCATGGACCGTGTGTGGAGCCAAACCTGCGTGTGCTGATGCCATCCTGTGTTGCGTGAGCATTGCAGGGGCAGCACCCTCCCACTGTCCCCAAAAAACCCTCTTCTCCCTCCTGCTAGCTCTCCCCAGCCGTGCCCAAGGCCTGCAGGCGTGTCCTCAAAGGACGGCCTCCTCGGGCCTCTCTGCCGGGGAAAGCTAAACTTTTTCTGGGAAAACTATGCCGGGGTATTTTTCCCTGCTCTCCCCTCCCGCTGAGCCTGCAATGGCAGGATAGCTGGCAGCTGAAGCACTTGCAGCTCGCTGCAGGCAGGGAGCAATTCCTGGTGCTGGGAGTGGGATCCCCCGCCGGGGGCACCTTCCCTAGTGCCGGGCGGAGCGACCTTCCCTGAAGGACGTTCCCTCTCCTCTGGCTCGCTGCATCCAGCGAACAGCCAGAGCCTTGGCCCGACATCTCAGCTGCCCCTCGTGCTCTTTCACCTCCTGAGTGCTGCTGTTCCTGCTGACTCCACGATGTTGCAAGAGCTGGAGCTGCTGTTTAAAGTCCGGGTAAACAGGTTGCAAAGTCCCTGCCGCCCTGGAGAGGAAGAGGATTGGACAAAGCTGCTGCTCGTGGGCAGTGGGGTGATTTATTTGCATAGAATGATGTTTCTGCTGGTGTAAAACTGTGTGGGGAGAGATGACAGCAGAGCAGGACCTCTGATGGGTCTTGCTTCCAGGGGACTGCAGGGCAGCTGGCTTGTGCCACCCTGTCTCTCTGTGGGCAAAAGAAAATGGATTTAAATTGCCACAAGTCATGGAGTGTGTCCAGAGTCCCTGCTCTCTGTGCACCTTCCCATGGGATTTTAGGCCAGAACAGCACTGGGGAACAGGGAGGGGACCTGGCAGCATGGGTGCCCTGTTCCTTCATCCTTGGCTAGGGCAACCTCATTGCCCCAGAAGCTGCCAGGTCCCAGGAACAATGTGCTGTTCCTTTGCTGGACTCCTGTGGATGGCATTGCCTGTGGGATGCTGGGCAGAGCCTCTGCCTGCCCTGCATGCAAGTGTGACCACGGAGGCTGTGAGCAGGTTGCAGGAGGTGCAGCATCTCTCCCTGAAGCATTTGGTGTGGCTGCCAGGAGCTGAGGTTCTGGTTGGCCCTGGACTGCTGCTTGCCCTGGGTGCCTCCCTGCTGTCTGGCTTCTGGGTGTGCTGGGGCATCGAGAGAGAACAAATATTTATGGTGCTTAAAACGTCTAGCACTTCAATTCTGCAGTGTGGAAGGGAGGGAAGTAGCCTTGGCAGCACTCGGGGTGTTTGTGTGGCTCTGATGGTGCAAGGCTGGTGGCACAGTGGTGTGTGGCAGTGTGGAGAGGTGCCAGCTGGTGCTCTGCTTTTTGGGGACTGTTGCACCCAGCTGGAGGGCATTGCTCCTTGTCGAGCTGCTCTCTGGGGCCTGCCAGCTGCTCCTGCAGGAGTTGTTTGTCTTTGCAGGAGAAATGAGTGTTCAGCCAGCCCCTCTGCCATGGGACCAGCAGTGTCTGCTGCTCTGACGGACACACCAAGGGTGGGAGAGGGTTGAAGGGGCAGCAGGGGTGTGCTGGGGACTCTGGGGTTGGTGGCTGTCCTCCTGTGATGCCCCAGGGAAGCTGTTGGCTGGCTGCAGTGCCGTGAGCTGACCCTGTGTTTCCTCCCATGCCCCCAGAGCAGCGGCTGCCACGGAGGCGTCAGGGCTGGCAGTGGTCACCCAGCGCCGCCTCCTGAGAAGTGCCTGCCTGGGCTGGGCTGGGCTGGGCAGCTCCAGCCCCCCTGGGAACACAGTGGGAAACAAGGAGCCTTTGTTTGCTGTGGCAGAGCTGGGCTGGCCTCACGCCCTGTCCCCACGGGGCCGGGATGCTGCCCAGCTGGGCTGGCGTGTCCTGCCTTGGGTACTCGGTGCCACGGTGTCCCCATCCCTGCCGTGTCTGTGGGAGGAGTGGGACGCTCTTTGAGCACGAAGCTGAGCTTTGCATTGCTCCAGCTGTGTTGAGGCTGGCCTGGCTTCTTGGCTCCCTGGGTAAGAGGTGCAGCCTGGTGCTTTTTGTGTCTGGGGGGAAAAGCCAGCATTAGGCTGTTTTAAGATGGGTGCTGCTCAGCTGCTGGAAGGAATGAGGGGAGGCTGCTTTTCCCTTCCTTCTAGAAGGACTGGGCTGAAAGGAGACAGCAGTGCTCACAAGGATGCCAGTTGCCAGTGGCACCGACAGGGGGGAGCTGGCAACACCAGAGAGATCTCTTGCATGGGTGGAGGCCATGCAGAAGAAATACGACTTTGTGAGAAAGTCTGCTGGACCAAGGAGTTGGTGCTGCCTGCTGTTGTCACAGGGAGCAGCCTTGGGCTGTGGTGTCCCCTATCAGAATCCCTTCATGGGGGTACTTTGGGGGGTGCTGATAAGCAGAACTGTGCCACGTGGCAGCGCCTGTGCTTCACTGCAGAGCAGGATAACAACCACTGCACCCACTCCCAGCCTCTACTACAGAGGCAGTGTGTTCTGTGCTGGGGTGTCCCCTGGGCTGTGGTGGGGCTCCAATCCTGGCAGCGGGGACCACAGACCTGCTGAGTCACACCAAGGACATGGCCAGGCTGGAGGAACCACTGGAGGCTGTATAGGAGAGTGGGAGCTGACAGCCCACCTGACCACACGCTGTGCCCAGCCTGGGGGCTGGGGCGTGATTCAACTTCCCTGGGCAAGGAGCAGGGAGGTCCTCGGGGGCACTCAGGGTGGTGTTGAACCCGGTGGCAGTGCCCTGTGCCCTGTCCTGGGCGGAGCAGGGTTGGCCCTGTGAGACCTGAGGGAGCTCAGCCCGGTGCTTCCTCCCAGTGCTGCTGGCACAAAGGGCTCCTGCTGCTCGCCAGGACCTGGCCACACTTTGATGCTGTGTGATCCATCGTGGCCGGATGGGCTGAGCCCAGCTCCCCCAGCACAGCTGCATCCAGCTGCAAGGGCTCCAGCCGTGCTGAGGGGAGCCCCAGAGCTGAGACCCAGCATCCCTTGCTGCCCAGGCCATCAGGAAAGCCTGCAGCCAGTGTAATCAGTGCCCAGCAGCCACCGCTGCAGGAGCTCGGGACAGCCAGACAGGCTTGATGATAATTGTGCTTCCTGCCAGCACAGCCATGTCTGCAGATGGGCTCCTGCTGGTGTGGGGAGTGGTGTGGGCAGCACCGCTGGGCTCATACATCCCAGTGCTGGCAGCTCACCTGGAGGTGTGAGGCTCTAGAGGAGAGGTGCCTCTGAGGGGCAACACACCAGATAGGCAGCCATGGGTGCAGTGTTTTGCCCTGTTTTCCCACCCCTTTGCCCAGTGTGCTCCCAGCTCTTGCCATGGCAGGGCAGTGATGCCCATGCAAGGCACCAGGTTGGCACAGGGCCCTGCTGCTGCGTGGACTCCTCAGGATTTTGATGAGGACATGGATATCTTGTCCCAGCCCAGACCTGGCTGCCAGAGGTCCCAGGCTCAGCCATCATGGAGCTGGGAGCAGCCATTGTGGCACTGAATGGGCACAGTGCTGCTCCTGCCTCAGTGTCCCTTCCTCTCCCATGCAGGTGGCCTGGCTGGAGGGATCGAGATCTGCATCACATTCCCCACCGAGTATGTGAAGACGCAGCTGCAGCTGGATGAGAAGGCAAACCCTCCCCGCTACAAGGGCATTGGTGAGCAGCCCCTCTCTGTGTCTGGGGCTCCTGGGGAGCCTGGCTGGTGCTGGGGGGGTCTGGCAGGGCGGTGGCGGGTGGTCCTCGGCGTGGCGGGTGACAGCGGCACCGCTGGTCTCTGCCGCAGGGGACTGTGTGAAGCAGACTGTCCGTGACCATGGCATCCGGGGGCTGTACCGGGGGCTCAGCTCGCTGTTGTACGGCTCCATCCCCAAGGCTGCCGTCAGGTACGTGCCCCCATGGCAAGGGGTGAGTGGGGGGGACCCCCAACAGCAGCAAACATGAGGGTGGCTTTGCCATTGGTGTCTCCGTTGGTCTTTTACCAAAGCCATGTGGTCTCCCAGGCAGGGAGGGTCCTCTCACAGGGTGTGCAGCTGCTCCTGGACCCAGAGCAGGGGGGTGCAGACCCCTGTCCAGGTGCCCAGGGGTTGGCAGTGTTGGCTCTTTTGCAGGTTCGGGATGTTCGAGTTCCTCAGCAACCAGATGAGAGACGAGCAGGGGCGGCTGGACAGCACGCGGGGCCTCATCTGCGGGCTGGGGGCTGGCGTGGCTGAGGCTGTGGCCGTGGTCTGCCCCATGGAGACTGTGAAGGTGGGTGGCTGTGGCTGCCACTGTCCCCTGCCTTGGCACCCCTTGCTGGCCTGGGCTGGGCAGGGGCAAAACCCAGGGATGCCCAACGAGGGCTGCATGTATTTGCCCGAGACAGTTTTCTAGGGGTGGATCTGATGCTGGAAAGCCCTGTGGAGATCAAGTCAGGTGGCCCTGGCCCCTTACCCACTCCAGGGAAGAGCCCCACACCCAGGAGCTATCTTGTCACCCATTTTATGAGTGTAAGGCCAACATGGCTGCTTGCAGCAGCAGTTTCCCAGGTTTTCCTCTGCAAAATGCACTGCTGGCCATGGGCACAGGCTTCCCCTGTGATCTCTCCCAGAGCTGCCTGGCTGCATGGGTTGGCCCTGGTCTTGGGACTGTCCCTGGAACAAGGCAGGAGGTTGCTGCCAGCCCTTGGGGCCATCACATCTGCATTACCTCAGCCAGGACAAGCACATCATCTCCTTGTAGGTGAAGTTTATCCATGACCAGACCTCTCCCAACCCCAAGTACCGTGGTTTCTTCCATGGCGTCCGGGAGATCGTTCGGGAACAGGGTGAGTCCCAGGAGAGTGGCACCCTGACTCCCTGAGTACTGCCATGCTATGGGGACAGGGTGGAAGGTGGTGGATGGGCACAGGCTGGGACAGGTGGCCTGGGGAGATTTTTCTCTGCCACTTGAGGCTGGTTTCCCCTCCAACATGCTCTTCTTGCAGGACTGAGGGGGACCTACCAGGGCTTAACTGCAACTGTCCTCAAGCAGGGATCAAACCAGGCCATCCGCTTCTTCGTCATGACCTCCCTCAGGAACTGGTACAAAGGTATGGTGCCCTTGGCTCCCACAGGCCACCCCGGCTGTGCCTCTGGCTCCCCAAGCACCTTGGGAGCTGCGGTGGTTTTTCCATCCACAAATCCCCTATTTCTCACGGCTCATGGAATGGAGGAAAATTAATACTAGGGTGGGGTGGCACCAGCTTGTGGGGCTGATGGGTCCTAGTGCTGGAGCATGTCTTTCACGTCCACCCTGAGCCCCGTGGTGCAGCGTGGGCTCCATGGGGCAGGTGCTGCTGGACAGTGCCCAGCTCAGCACTTCCCCTGACCACAAGCAGCCAGACCTGGGACCTTCCTTGTGTGTTCCCTCGGGAATGTACGTGGGAATCCCACCACCACTCTGCCCTGACCCTCTCTTCCTTCTCAGGGGACAATCCCAACAAGGTCATGAACCCCTTCGTAACGGGGGTGTTTGGAGCCCTTGCTGGAGCTGCGAGTGTCTTCGGCAACACCCCCTTGGATGTGGTGAAGACCAGGATGCAGGTACGGTGCCAGGGCCCCATGTGGGACTGCTCTGCCTGCATCAGGACGGCAGCACCCACTGCCTGGGAGCTCTGCTGCAGTCCCTGGGGCAGGCACATGATGCCTGTGAGGTTTGCTTTGGGAGATGTCTGGTATTGCTCCTGAGCCATGGGGAGGGTTTGCACAGAGGTGGGGACATCCCTGTGGGGTCTGATGTCCTGCAGCAGTGGAGAGAGATCAGTTCCTCATAGAACACCCCCAGCTCTGTGCCTCTCCCCTGAAATCCCCTAGATGCAACCCTGGCTCTGGCCCCTGATCCTGCTTTTCCCTTCCCACAGGGGCTGGAAGCGCACAAGTACAAGAACACCTGGGACTGTGCCTACCAGATCATGAAACACGAAGGGCCCCTGGCGTAAGCTCTGCAGTGGGGATGGCTGGTGGGGAGGATGGGCAGGGAAGGGGCTGTGAGGGGACCCAGCCTCACGGCCCTCCTTTCTATGCCTGGCAGGTTTTACAAGGGTACAGTGCCTCGCTTGGGCCGTGTGTGTCTTGACGTGGCCATCGTCTTCATCATCTATGATGAGGTGGTCAAATTCCTCAACAAGGTGTGGAAAACGGACTGAGGGGCCGGGCCATGCAGCCCCTGCCTCCTGTGCCCCACAGGGCTTCAGCTGGAGAGCAGAGACCAAACCCACCCCACCTGCGGCACTGCTGGGGCCAGGTCTGCCCTGCACACCTCAAACCTGGCCACCTTTATCTTTAGGAACAGGCTCTGGAGCAGGTTAAATTACTAGTTGTGTGCTGCAAGGAGCAGGGAGGGAGCTGCATCCCACCATCCCAACCCCCAGCATCCCCATCATGCCCACCCCAATGTCCTGATGACACTTTCCCCCAGCCCCACATCAGCTGTGTATGTTGGTAATCCAGGTTGTCATGTCCCTTGGACAGTGGCCTTGGGGCTCCTAGCAGCCAGGAGCTCCTGACTGCCTCAGGAGCAGCTCTTTTGGGGCTGCTGAGAGCCCCCTCGCACCATGTGAATGCAATGCCAAACTGTCCATCACAAGCCGGGCTGATACCATTGGGTATCAGTGGGGCTAATACCACTGACAGGGTCACAGCAGCTCTTGGAGGGGGCCCAGCAGCCCTGCACCCCCTAGGATGGGAGAGCAGTGATCCCCTGGTGTGACCCCAAGCTCCCTCCTCTCTCCCTGCCAGCACCAAGACCACTGGCATGCAACATCCCATCCCATCCCTGCTCAGCCCCAGGCTGCTGAGCAGCAGTTGCCCAGAATTGCACATCCTGCCAGGTCTTTCGTTCTGCTCACTGTGGGCTGGGTTGGGGTGAGCCGGGTGCCCCCTCAGCTGTCGTTTACAGCCGAGACGTGCGTGCGAGCTGGGGCGAGGAGGTGCAGCCCCAGGCCGCAGGCTTGGCCCCTCGGCCAGGGGTGCAAGCCCCTTTCTTCTGCCACATTCCCCGCATCTGCCCTCCCGCCGCGTTTCTGTGGTGCCGTAGGTGATCCCGTAGCTTTTGGAGCTTTAGAGCTTCACGCTGACTCACTAACACCCATGGCCGTGGGGCTGGAGCCCTGCCCTGCCCGTGCCAGGCTGGCCCCACTGGATTTGTGCCAAATTTCTCCCTGAGGGAGCTGGGGGTGCAAGAGCCAGGGCTCAACCCATCCCTCCTCCCTCTTGTAGCCAGCGATGAGCTCAGCCTTAACACAGGAGGATGAAGGAGGAAAGCCTGGGCACGGTTTACCTGCGGCTTTTGGCTCTGAAGCCAGTGAGGGTTGCATTAGGTTTTTTTTTTATTTTATTGTTATTCTGTTTTACATTCGCAATTTGAATAAAATCAGTCTGGCTTTAGCAGCTGCGTTGGCGTCCGGGCTGTGCTGAATGGGCAGTGAGTGGCTCCTGCCCTGTGGGTGGGGGACGGGGCTCCCCATCACGCCGAGATGGTGCTCCTGGGGGAGCATCAGCTCCAACCCAGCAGTGCCCAATCACAGATGCTCCCAGGCAGGGCTGTGCTGTCTCATGCACGGTGCTTTATTAAAAACCCTGGTTAATTGTATGAAGTCCTTGCCCTTGCCATGGAGCCGAGGGGCGGTGGAGCAGAAGGGAACGGGCTTTGTCCCCCCGCCCAGCCCGGGGGCGGTGCGGCACGGCCGGAGCTCTCACCGCACAGCCGTCGCTCCTCATCCAGTGTCCGCTGGAGCAGGGCAGAGCCATCACCCCGCGGGGCTCGCAGGCTCCGGTGCCATGCGGGGCCCGCTGCTCTGGGCGGGCTGCCTGCTGGCCGCCGCCTGCCTGGTAGGAGCCACGGGCAGCTGCCGGCAGCGCTGCTGCCCCGGCAGGAACAACGCCTGCTGGGCCCCCGGCGCCCGCCGGGCTCGCTGCTACTGCGACTCGTACTGCCAGAGGACGGGAGACTGCTGCCAGGACTACCTCACCTCGTGCCGCCGTGCCGGTGAGTGGCGAGGGGATGGGGAGGGGATGGCACCGGCCGGACCGCGGCTGGGGACGCCAGCCTGTGCTGCTGTGCTCGGTGGCGGGTGTTTGCTGTTACCTGTTAGCCCCGGACTTGGATGATAGCAGGATGTGTCTGGGGATGCTGGCTGGGCTGGATTTGTAGCAATGTTCCAGTTGTCCCCTTTTTTCCACGCTGAATGTCTGGGTGGCCCCAGTGCACTGAGGGAGCTCCAAGGAGTGGCCTCTGGTCTGCAGCTGATGGTAGCGCTGTCACTGCAAGCCTGAGTGGTCAGTGTCCTGGACCCAGCAGGACAAGCCCCGGTGTCACCTCTGCTACTGTCACAGGGGACTGGGGAACCGGGGGCTGCACTAAGGGTGCCAAACAGGGCTCATGGGCTTGGGGAGTGCAGAACCAGCCTGCCCTGGGGACCCAAATCTGGGTAGGCAGGCGCTGGCCACGGCCCCCCGGACAATTGCAGCAGTCAGCCCTTCCTAATCTCCGGGGAGATTAGCAGGGTCCCAGCTCAGCGCGATGCACACAGGAATAAAGTCCTGCGGAAGCAGCTCACAAAGCCCCTGCACTAGCAGGGGTCAGGGGAGAGGGGCTGCTGGGGTGACTCTGGCCCTTGCCCTTGCTCCTCTCTCATCGTTCCCTGTGCTGCATCTCCCCTGCTCTGCTCTTTCCATTGTTCGTGACACTGAAACTCTTTCTTCTCCCTCTCCTCCATCCCTGGCAGCGGTGGGCTGTGCTGTGGGGCCCTGGGGGCCGTGGAGCGGGTGCAGCTCCCCGTGCGGGGTTGGCAGCAGGGCCCGCAGCCGCCAGGTCACTGTGCCGCCCCGGCACGGGGGCGATCCCTGTCCTGACCTCAAGCAGCGCCGCGGCTGCCTGGGGCAGCACCCGACCTGCGGGACGGCCAAAGGTAACTGGGCTGCGTGCTCGTCCCCATGTGCTGCCGTCCCGGGGTGTCTTTAATCATCCCCGTGCCCCTCACAGCTGCTCTTCTGCCAGAGGTAGCCAAGATACTCCCCAACTCCTTCAGCCAGGACTTCAGAGATCCCTGGCGAAGAGCTGTGCTGCCACTGCCGGAGGAGCCCTCTGGGTATGTGTGGAGTCGGGGCCCCTCCGTAACCCCCCTCCCCAAAGCCGGGACCCCCCTGCACCCCCTGTGGTCATGGGCTCTTTGCACCCCCCAGGCCCAGACATTACTTTTCTCCCTGCACTAAACCCCGTTGCACCCCCATACAAACCCATGGCCCTCTGCATGCCCCACAGAACCGCCATCCTTCCCACCCTCCAAATCAGGATCCCTCTGCACCCCCCCAGAGCCATTACCCTTCTCACCTCCCCGGCCGAGGCCTCTCTGCTACCCCCCAAACCTACATCCCCTTTATACCCCAATCCATCAACAAACCACCGCAACCTCTGCCCCAACTTCCGACCACCATTTTCCCTTTTTTCTCCTCCCATTTCCCCCCTCCCCAGCTCCCCTTTCCCCAGCTACTGCGGCTATTTCCGCCTGACGCAGGTGGGAGCCCCGTGCCGCGGGCGCGCCTGGAGCCGCCGGCTGCAGCGGGACAAGCAGGTGTGTGTGGAGTGCTGGGGGAATCTGCCCCACCGCCGCCCCCACTGCACTGGACACGGGCTGCAAGGAGCCAGGTAGGTGCTAATCTGGGGCATCCCCACCATGGGATCTCTCCTAAGGAACATCTCTCCCTGTCTCTAAGGCATTCTTCTTTTATATTGTACTTATAATATTTCTGTACAAAGCTGTAATTATGTTTAAAATGCCACACTGTATACCATCATATTATTAAATGAATCAATAATATATCTATAAATCAATATTATAATAGAAAAATAAACATATTAAAATAGAATAGACTATCTCTGTTGGAAGGGACAATGATCATCTGGTCCGACTGCCACTATTATATATATATATAATATAAACCCATATATAAAACTATATTTTATTTTTAAAAAATGTATTTATTAATGGCACACCCTAGTTTTCACTGATTTTCCCTTCCAGGACATTTTGGGTGGCCGCTTCTGTGGTGGGGTGCCAGGGCTCGTGGGTGCAGGAGAGCCTGCAGGAGGGGTGTGTCTGCTCCCCACCAGCTCTCATCTTTGTGTAGGATCCCCCTGGGAAGGTGAGCTGAGCCCCCCCATGGCACCACTCCTTGCTGGGAGGTGGGGAATGAAATAAAAATGTGGTCTCTTTTATAATTTCACCCTCCTACAGGTTTGTTGTTCACCCTTGGTGCCAGCTCCCTCTGTTTTCCATTAAATATTTTGCTGAAGAATGGAAAAACCCTTCTTATAAAGACTAAAAATAAGGGAATTGCTGAAGTGTGGTGATTAATGGTAGAAGAACAGCATGATGAGGTTAAATCTGGATGAGATGATGATGTGGCGGTGACACAGTGTGATGATGTCATGCTCAGCCATGACGTACTTTCCACAAGCTGCAACTGGCAAGCAACATGAGGATGGAGGGAGCATCCTTCCTCTTGTCTGAGCTCACTCACTGCAGTGTCAGGTGAGCCAGGCAGGGCAGTTTTGCAGAGATATTTAACAGACACCCAAAAGGTGCCAGTACCCAGTTCCAGCCGTGGGGCTTGGCAGTCCCATTGGAAGGAATGAGGCTGGGTGCTGCTGCCCTTCTCCAGTCCTTGCCCACCATGACATGACCTTGCTGGTGGGGTCCCTGCCCCAGCTTTGAGTGGTACTACCACAGCCTGTGGTGGGAGCATGTGCCATGCCAGAGCTGGGTCTTGCTCCACTGCAGCCAGTGGCTGTTGTCTGTTTGCTGCTCAGGACGTTTGGCTCCTGCAGCCTGCTCTCACACCACCCTCCTGGGCAGTGGAATTAAAAGGCTTCAACACAGGGAATGTTCTTGGCCTCTTTATTTGGGGTAAAAGCCCACGTCGGCCAAAGACCAAAGTGCTGGTTAAAAAAACAGGTGGTGAGAGTTGAGTATGAGGGCATGTGAGAGTTCTGGAGCACAGGTCCCCTCCTGCCAGCCAGAGCTGAGGGCAAGGAAGCCATGGACATAGGCCAAGGCAATGCTGCACTGGAGTCCTCAGCTGCAGAGTTAGAAACTGGGAACAAAAGTGAGTGTGTTCCACACTGTGAGTGGGGTTCCCCTGAGTTACACCACCAAACCTGCAGGCCTGGCTGCTGGTCAGAGAGAGCATCCAGGAAATGGAGGGAGATGGCTGCAGGATTCCGTATCACACTGCTGCATGCTTGGAGCTGTCAGTCCCCAACAGTGGTCCCAGCTCTCCTGGTGCATTGTCCTGATTTGGCACAGGGGCCAGGCCATGCTGCACCAGCAGCCCCTGTACCAGCTCCAGCTCCTGCTCCAGCTCCTGGGAGCCACAGCCCAGGCCTGGCATGGTGGTGGCACTTTCCCCCAGCACCCGCAGCACCCGTGCCACCAGGCGGGCCCTCACCAGCAGCACGGCCAGGGCTGTGTGGAGCTTGGCACAGCCCAGCGCCTTCATCCCCCAGCGGACAGCAGCCCCTGTGGAGAGAGCAGGGAAGGAGCCGTGAGTGGGGCGGGGTCCCCATGGGCAGAGCTGGTCTGGGGAACAAGGACACTGTTTGTTTGTCCCAGGCACTCCACGCTCGCCATACCTTGGCTCCAGCAGCGTTTGCAGTACTGCAGGTCCCTCAGCACACCGGGGCCTGTGGCTTCCAGCCACTGCAGAGCCAAGGCATGGAGTGGGCTGCCAGTGGGAGCCTTCTCCAGGAGCTGCACCAGGACAGGGAGCAGCTGCTGTGCCAGGACAGCTGGCTCTGCAAAAACGTTGGGTTCGTCCTCCTTGTACAGGCTGGCAGCTCTGGGGAGAAAGCAGAGGTGTGAGTGAAGCCAAGGGCTGGCCCTGTGCTACCCCACACTCCCTCATGCCAGTCCACAGGTCCAGCAACTCACTTGTTGGCCTCCAGCTCCTCCACAACACTCCTGAGATCTAAGACGGGGATATGCTGAAGTAGTGAGTTGAAGGTCTCAGGGTGCCCCCCGAACTCTCCCAGAAGGAGCTCTAGGAGCCTCTGGAGCCCCACGTTGTCCTGCACAAAGATGCAGCCATCTTGGAGCAGCTCCCCTGGGCTCTGCCGCAGGAGGCTGGCAAAACCTGAGGCCTCATGCCGGACCTCCCGCTCCTCATCTTGCAGAAGGCGAATGGCCATGTTTATCAGCCTGAGGAAAGGGAAGAGAAGGGAAAGGAAGCATACTGCATGCCCTAAAGCATCCCAGCCTGCTTGGAGGGGAGGATGACACCTCAAAAGAATGCTTCTCTGAGGGGCTTTTTTCCTGGACTGTGAAAGACACAGCCACCACCCAAGAGCTTGGAAAGGTAGGGGTTGTGCTGGGGATTGAGGGACTCAGCAATGCCATCTGCTGCTCATAATGGACTGGCTGCTTGTATTAAAATGCCATCCACACATTTTTTTTTAGGCTGTGAGCTCTTGACTACCCCTGATTTTTGAATAAGTGGGGCCTTCCTCCATACCCTTGAGTTTTTGCAGGGGACACCTGCAGGGTCCATTATCTGCAGCAGGCTGGGGCGGGGGCTGCAGGGAGCAGTGCAGCAAGCACAGCCATCCCCAGAGATGGGCTCAGTGACCTACCGCAGAGCCACGGGGCCGAGCGAGGGACGGGCAGCACGCAGGGATCGCCGCACCACGCCGGCCCCCGCCAGCTGCAGGGAGCGGGCAGCCGCCAGCCGCAGCAGCTCGGACCAAGAGGACTGGCTGCACTCCTCCAGCGCCGCACACCAGCGCTCCACCAGCGCCACGGCCTCGTCCCCACACCTGCCAAGGCCAGGGAAGAAGAGTGATTTCAAGCACACCTTGCTGCTCCATTAGGGGACCAAAGGCCACTGGCTGCCCTGAGATTGCAGAAGCCAGGTGCAATGCTGTGATTTATAGGAGAGAAGACATGGCTGTTTCTAGTAAGGACCAATGAAGAATCTGCTGGAAGAACTGGGCAGCCCCCCAGCAGCAGCAAGGACCTACTGGTGGGCAAGCAGCAGGCTGGCAGCACACAGTGCCTGGAAGAGGAGTTCAGGCCCAGGACACTCAGCCTCCACCATGTGCAGCAGCATCTCCAGGCATGATCTTGAGGAGCCCTGGAGCTTATTGGAAGCTTCCTGGGACCATGACGAGGGATCTCTGTAAAGATGCAGCAAAGCCTCAAGGTACAATCTCAGGAACTCTTTGTCCCTTCTCTCTTGCAGCACCGACTGCAAGCTCTCCTAGTTAACAATAGGAAAGAAGGTACATGGTTAGTGGTCCTAGCACTGCAGGACCAGGCAAGTGCCCTGCATCCATGCACCCTCAGCCTGAGGAGCACCAAGCTTCTCAGCAATGGGATCTCAGGGGGTCCCATCTGTGTGGTGCACTGGGGCCCCTCTACTTTACTTGGTGAATTTTGAGCCCCATCATACCAGCAATGTCAGCCCAACAGCGTTCTCCACCTCCTTGCATGTTCCTCGCTCCCCATCAGTCACCCAGCTCAGGATGCCAAGCTGGATGTCGGGGTTGGGCTGCTGAAGAAGTGAGCAGACAGCAGCAATCAGTTCTCTGTCTGCCAGCCGGGCTGCCTCGCTGCACATGAAGTGAGCCATGGTTTGGTGGAGGACGGCTGAGCCCACCTGCAGGAAAAGAACAGAATTCCCCTCCCAGTGCTCAGCCTGGAGCAATGGCTCCCCCTGTCCCTGCCCAGGCTCACTGGCAGTCAGGCATGGCCATGATTTTCCTGGCAGGAAGCAGTACCTGCAGCTCGGCGCAGCCTGACGTTTCCCCCTGCAGGAGGCTGCCCAGCTCGGTGCTGATGGTGTCATGGATGTACTGGGCGAAGCCAGGGCTGAAGGATGTGGGCAGGAGGGCGAGGACCTGGAGGAAGGCGGCGCGGACGAGGGGGCAGCGCTGGGCCGGGGTGAGCAGCCAGCCCCGCGTCTCCAGCTGCAGAGCCACTGGGTGCAGCGCCTCGGCCGACAGCCTGCAGGGAGACACAGCCTCACCACGGGGCAAGCGCCGAGATGGAGTCTTGAGTCTTCTGTGGCCAAAAGGCTGCACTTGGCACAGTGACCCCAGCTGGGGCGACAGCGTGGCAACACTCACCCCCCGGCACCCGTGGCGGAGCCCAGCAGTGCCCGCATCTGCAGCAGGTGCCCGTGGACAGCGTTGTGAGAGCGGATCTCTCCGGGAGCTGCAGGGAGCTGCCGGGCCAGCTGCAGGAGGAGCCTGCAGCGCTGGGGAGGGGGCACAGCGGGCACCAGAGCCTTGGCAGCCATGGCTCGTACAGCGTAGATGGGGCTCTCTGCCAGCCCCAGCAGTGGCCCCAGGAAGGGAGCAGAGGGACTGTGGAGCAAAAGGGGCAGTATGTGGTGATGCTCTGTCTGGAGTAAAATCTCACAAGAGCCAGGGCCAGCCTCAGCACCATGGGAGCCCTTCCCACTGCAGGAGCCCTTGGCTAAGGCACAGCATCCCCATTGCCCCCATACCTGCCGGGACTGTCAGCACCAGGCTGCAGCTGGGCCAAGAGGGTGAGGATGGCGTGGAGTGCAGGGTGCAGGCGGGGCCCCCCTGATGTGGGTGCTGTGGCCACCTTGAGCTCTCCGAGCAGCACAGCGCCCAGCTTTGGGTGCTGCCCAAGGAAGGCATGCAGGCTCAGCCCCTCTGATGGGCAGCCATCCCCGTGGCTCCGCGGCTGTCCCAGCAGCCGGGATGTGAGGGCACCTGCAGGGACAGAGAAGGCAGTGTCAGGTCCCGTCCAACCCTGTCAACCCCCTGCACTTCAGCCCACACAGGCCCCGAGCCCTGGGGGCTGTGGGATCTCTCTCTGCCAGTACTCACTGAAGAGCTGGATGGCCGCGTTCCTCATGGCCCAGCACGGCGAGCCCAGGCCCTGCAGTGCCAGGGCCATCATGGGTGTGGCGTGGCACAGCACTGCCCCGCCCAGCCCTGCCCCACGGACCAGTGTCTGCAGCACGTGGAGGGCACACACCTGGGGAGAGCACAGGGGGCTCATGCTACCATGTCTGGGGAAGAGGGTAGGAAAAGACAGGGGAGCCAAAAGGCCATCAGCTCCCAGGCTGGACAGCACGACCAGAGCTGTGGGTTTTTGCTCACTGAGTTCTCACAGTCTCACACTGGGTACCTGGCACAGCTCAGGGGACTCAGCACAGATCACCCTGTCCCCAAAGAGGCTTCAGCAGCCAGGAGTGCCACACTCACCTGCGGGAGGTCGAGGGTCTGGTCCCAGTCCTGTGGCAGTGCTGTGGCAGCCAAGGTCAGCAGGGTCTGGATGCAGCGGGTCAGGAGCGGCCGTGCCTGTGCCGGGGCCTCGCCGCTGACGATGCAGAGGAAGAGCATGGGGAAGCCGGCAGCACGGCGTGTGATCGAGCTGCTCCGGGGCCCACTCAGTGCTTCCAAGCCCTGACAGAGAAACAAAATCCACCCGAGATGTGGCTGGAAACCTGTCACCTGGAACCTGCAGCTGCCCTGCCAGGAGGGTGCTTGCCCCAGGGAGTGTAGAAACGCCTCTGGTGCTCCCTGGGGCACACGGGAAACAAGAGGCACAGTGAGTACTGTACCTGCTCCAGCACAGCCCGTGGGATGGCCTGCAGCTCTGGATCCGGGTGGTTCAGCAGCGCAGCGCAGAATTTGGTGAAGCCCATGCTGCAGCCCTCCACTGCTCCCTGGGGCAGAGCAGTGTCAGGACAAGAACCCCAAAGGCTGCACCCACCAGTCCCCCATGGCCCCAGAAAACTCTTTGCAAAGGGGGAGATCAAGTGAGAAGATGTGATAGGGTCTGGCACTGGGATCCCAGCCAGGGGACTTCCAGCCTTCCCCACAGCAGACCCTGCCCCACTGC